CCTTTCCGAACCCATTTCTGGAATTTCTCTTTCAGGTTCTTCCTCAAAGGCCGCAGAGTGCATTCAAAAGACACCCTGCCCCATGGATAGCTATTAAAGAAATCTAAATCGTCGACGTACGCCAGCCAATCCAATGGGACGGTCTTCTTCTCGTCCCCAGATTGTACTACTTGTGCTAAAAAGTAAATGATAGCGATCCTTGCTTTATCGCTACCTTTTATCTTGTTCTCTGTAAGCAATTTCTTTAAATCATCAACAAGTACTACTTGAGCCTTAAAATGCTCCAACAATCTTACGTTCTTCGAAGCTTTCAACACCACGTCCAGCTCTGGGATTTCCCCACAATTCAATCCAGTGGTTAAAGTAAATTCCCTCATTCCGAACCGAGTTAGCTTTCCATTAACCATGAACCACAACTTATGTTTCTTTTCTGTTTCTATCTGCCTCAAAAGCAGATAGTGTGTCAACACTCCAAAATATATTATATTTTCAGACATCGAAATCAAATGTCCCAAGGCAGATTCCTTAAAAATTGGCATTTTCGTTTCGAGGTCTAAATTCTGCCCTATTACCTCCTAGGCCTCCATCTTTGACTTCATAGTGATTTTCATTGGGAAGTACTCCTGCATAGGATCCATGATCATCCTTAGTTGTCCAATCCTAGGAAGTTCATCTGTGTTGTACTTCGGGAGGTCATTTTGAAAAAAAAAAGAAAAAACATATCGGTCAAAACTGACCAAAACGACAGAACTGACCAAAACGACACAACCGACCAGAACCGACCGAACCGACTTAAAACCATAAGAATAGACCAGAACCGACCAACTAGAACCTTGAAAAGACAGAACCGATCGAACCGCCCGAACCGACCTTGAAACGACCTAGAATCGACCGTGCCCAAATAGACCATACTAGAACCGACCTAGAACCTAGCAAACCAGACCGAACCGACCTAGAACCGATTAGAAATGACAGTGCACGAACTAGAACCGACGGAACGACATAGAACTGACCAAACCGAATAGAACAGAGCAAGAACCGACCTAAAACCGAACCGACCCAACCTTAGAACTCACTAAGAACCGACCTAGAACTGACTTAAAACTGACCTAATACCGACTACGAACAGACCACAGAAGAACC